CAATACTTACATTCGACATCGATTGGGCCTGAAACATCGATGGTAATACAAATGCCATGTTACATGACGTCTCATCTGGGAAACTACCAAACTAAGTTTTGAACTCATTTTTTCGTCTGGGCCATATTGGCTGATGCCCCTTATCCTGTTGGTTTTTGTCTGCCGTACTGACTTGCTCAGTATACTCTTCTGTGTCCACCTTTTCAGCATTCCTTTTATCTTCAGCTTTCCTCCTCTATTCCCTACGTTTCTGAGATCGAGTTAAGACTACATTCTGATATTGTTGTGCTTTAGGGAATTTTGGATGATTAACTCGAGTCCTTCTATCTTCAGCTGAGTCTGTCCTTGGTTTCACAGTTCGCACTTTATATGAATCGGTTCCTATTTGTAGCTAAATTTCTGACTGAACTGGCGACTGCCTCTTAAAACTGGGATGCCGATTTTGGGGATGAAATTGGATAGATATATATAATTGCCGATTTTGCTTTCCTGCCTTCAAATGACTGCTGCTGGGACCAACTTGCTGAGACTCTTCCCTAGGCTTCAATGGAAAAATAAGCCTCTCAAGAATTCCTTTCTTCTTTGGTTAAACCTCCATTGGCACATCTTCCTTTGGTTTTTGCTTTCCTTTGCAATTTGGGCAACAACCATGGTCAATCAAGGCCAATTGAGCCTCCCTTAATTGTCTCTGCAGTTCTGCCATCTTTTCAGGTGTCACATTTGATGATAAGAACTCACCTGATATCATTTTAGCCTCTTGCCGATTCTCTCGTTTGGCTAAGCTTATCACATTTGTAAACGTGATTGTAAGAAATGGATTGGTATCCACCTTCATGGTCTCTGAAGTTTTCTCCGGGAATTTTAAAGTACCTTCATCAATAGCTTTCTACAATACACCTCGTAGAACAGTACAATCATTAGTAGCATGGTTCCAAGAGTTGTGATACTTACAATACTCTTTTCCTTTTAAGTCACTTGCTGATGGAATCTTGTGCCCTTTAGGCAAAGATATCATTTTATCAGCCATCAAGTGATCAAAGATTTGATCGGTTTTTGACAAGTCGAAAGAATAAATTTTCTCGGTATCGGCAGGACCTTTCCTTGCTACCGATGTTGATGTTGATGATGCATTGCCCTCCGTGGTCAGTTTAGGTTTAACCAACGCCTCACAAACGTATGGCTTTTTGATATTGACTTCTGTAACGTCCACTTCTAATTCATCTCTAACTTCTACTGAGAATACCTCATAATTAGGGTCCTTGTACCATGTACCCTTAGAAGAATTTTTCCTCTCTTTATCTTCTTTTAGTATTTCCTCATACCGAGAAGCCCTGTTTGCTAAGTCGAAGAGATCTTAAAACTCAACCCCATCAAACCTCTTGCGATGTTCAATGTCTAGACCATTCAATGCCAACTTGATGTATTCTGGTTCTGGCAAACTTACTCGGCATTTGAGTTTAGCTTTTTTGAACCTTGCAACAAAAGTCTCAACCAATTCGCTCGACAACTGAGATAATCGAGATATGTCTGCCAGCGTAGCTTCTGTTTCTGTTCGGTAGAATTGGGTATGGAAAGCCTCTTCCATCTCATCCCAATTCTGAATAGAATTGGCTGGTAAATTACTGTACCATTCAAATGCCGCCTCGGCAAGAGAGCTAGAGAATAACCTCATCTTTAACCAAGGGCTAGGACCTGCTTCTCCACATTGTGCGGTGAACCTTACAATATGCTGCATTGTAGAGAAATTCTCTTCACCACTATACATAGAAAAATCAGGATATCGATAATTTCTAGGCAACTCATGGGCATCGACATGATCAGGATAGGGCTTTTTGTATACTGGCTGAGCACGTTTGCGACCCTGTGCTACTTCGGCCTGTATTAAAGCCAAAATTTGAGCCCTATCAATCCCTGCATTTCTTCCTGAATGATCATTTGGGTGCCGCGGAATGAATAGATTAACCCACTCCCTTTGATGATCGGCATTTACTTGCCCCCCAGCAACCGCTGGAGGTATCAATGGATTAGCCCTACCTTGGTTTAGGTTGCCTACCACTTCTTACTAATCTTTCACTGGTGGAATCAGCTGCACATATGGACGCTACACATTTTGATTATGCTGATCATTCATTGGTGGCTGATACATTGGCACAGTATTTACTGCCAGTGAATCTGATAAGATTGGTGGATTCCCCATCAGTATGCTGAGTGTATGATTCGGCACATTGCCAATTGTAATACCAAGTCCTGCACTTGGCGGTACGATGCTTGTTCGAGGCCCTTGGGATATATGTATCAATGGTGCCATCATACGCTGAAATATGGACTCATTAATATGAGATGCTTCGGCTTGATCATGTCGATTTTGATTAGCAGATATACTGGTTTCGAGCTTCTGATTCATCCTTTCCATTTGAGCGTACATCATTTGATTTAATTCCCCAGTCATTGACCTCATCTTATGTATCTGAGAAACCAAAATTTGATTTCATTCCCCCACCTAGGACCTTACTTCACCCATCTGTGCTTGCTGGGCATCAATTTTCTGCATAATCGATTCCAGTACCTGACCCAAAGGAAGATCGGATGGAATAGATGAGTCGGCATCATCACCAACGCCGAGTTGCTGGTACTCTTCGTCAATATTGTCACCTGTAGCCACACTTTTCGAATTTCTTAGCTTTGGAGGCATCTTTACTATAATTTGCTCACCTGATGGGTCCCACCGGGCGTGCCAAAAATGTTGACGCTAAAATCAACTCCTAAGATCCGATTCTTAATTTGGATTTTGCGGGCATGCCAGAACCAACTATATGGTTCAATTGTAAATTGTCAACTTGCAGTCTCTTAGGGATTGAGGATACATTACGTAATATGGGCCGGTTATAGTCCACAGACGTGACATCGGGGCAAACAATTGAAATACAGCCCATACAAGAGCACCACAGAATGGGCCGAGCTCAGAGGATCCACCGAAGAAAACCAAGCCCATTGGAAAGAAGGCCCAAAACAGATAGTCCAGCAGTACTTGTAATTGTTTATAAAAAGGCAGCGAAGAGAGTGAAAAAAGGGGAGATTTATTTTCAATTGAAAATGTAATGAGATTCTGTCCAAAAAGAGAGAGAAAATTATTTGCATCTTCAATTGGCGCCATTGTGGGAAGCGTTGGAGGTTAATTCTTGTTTGATCAACGTCATGTTGATTCAGACTGATTGGTGACGACGAAACTTGATTTCTAGAAGTTTAATCCAGATCTAAGAGATTGCAGTTTGCTCTTGAGAAGTTCTTGATTCTTGATTGATTTTGAGAAATTGGCGTTAGGTTTACGCAGCTGTGATTCACTCTATCGCGGCTCGATCCAACAAGCTCAGACGCCGGAAAATCTCTGATCTATCAAAGGGAGAACATAACTCGTAAAATTTGAGTCCAGATCTGACGTGATTCGCGTCAGCGAGACTCAGATCTAACTTAGAATTTGTGATTCATGTCTTTGCTCCATTCTGGAATGATGACTGGGGGTGAGAACTCCAACACGGTAGAGAATGTCTAGCAAATTAAACTTGATGAGTTGATGAGCATGATCGAAGCTCTCAGGAGAGAGAATGCAGATCTAAGGACTGAAATGCAGCGTCAAGAAGTTCTGGTGATTCCGCGACCACTCCCGGCCGGAGAAGAATTTGTACGCACCGATGCGGCATATCACGGTGAGGAGGTAGGGAACAATTAGACAGATCTTCACCGCGAGGAGGTCCGGCCAAACGATTTGCCGCCAAATCCTTGTCGTGTTGATGATCGTGAAGGATCAACTCATGTGGATCCACGGCGTGAATAGATCAGGCGAAACGAAGCCATGACTTTCGATCCACATTAAGAAATACTCAGCCGAGAAAAAGCAATGGAGTTTGGTCACCACAAAGCTATACCGCCGTGGCACAAAGAGTTTATTGAGGAAAGATCATTTGATCCGACTTATCGGCCTTCACTGGCGATGCTCGACTATCGCAGCTCAGAAAGGAGATCTGTAGATCAGAGAGCAACAGCGGGGTTCCAGAGGGAAAATGAAGTCCTCCGTTCAGCAGCTCGGACGGTTAATTCGCCATTCACTGATGAAATTCTGAATGCTCCGAGTCCGAGGAAATTTTCTATGCCCGTTTTCATTCTGTTCGACGGAACGACCGATCCGATTGATCATGTATATCACATCTAATTGAAAATGGCTTTGAACACTGAGAATGATTCCTTGATGTGCAAGTGCTTCCCTACAAGTCTAGCTAGACCAGCGTTCAATTGGTTCAAGAACCTGTCGAGAGGCTCAGTGGATAGTTTCCGAAGCTTGTGTGATCGGTTCATAAGCCAATATTATGGAAATAAATGTCTAGCAAAGGACATTTCAAGCCTATTCACAATGAAGCAGCATTAGGACGAGCGTCTCCAAGCTTTCTTAACCAGGTTTAACCTTACTAAGAGCATGGTGATTGAATGTCATCCTTCTACAGCAATTCAAGCATTTATATTGGCCATGACTCGTGGCACTCCATTCCACACAAGCTTGGTAGTGAATACGCCGAAGACTATGGATGAACTTAATGAAAGAGCTAATGGATTTGTGCCCTTGGAAGAAGAAGAGGCAGCTAACGCTCGGAAGACATCCATCATATCAATAGAAGAGAAAACCAAAGCAAAGATCAGACAAAAGCAGGTTTAGCCACAGCCAGACCTCGTGGAAATCTAAGAAAAGGCCCAGGAAGGAAGAGCTGGTTACTCCATTGAAAGTCACCTTAGCAAGGCTGTACCAAGAAAATAAAGATAAGTTCCGATCTCCTTTACCAATTAGACAACCCCTCGAGCAGAGGGATCAGTCTAAACATTGTGCATTCCATTCTGACTTTGGCCATCAGACTAATGAATGCAGGAACTTAAGGAGACAGGTAGAGATGCTGATAGCCAGAGGGGAGTTCGCAAGTTATATTCAAGGCCCGGCGGTGGAACAGAACCGACCGATGGAGCAAGTGAAGAGGAATCAGAAGTCAAACTCCCACAACGCACAACCAGTTCGAATAATCAATGCAATTCATGGTCGGCCTGAACCTACTAAGGAGTCAAATGAACTGCTTCGAACACGTCTTCGCCAGGCACAAATGAAGAGGAGGATAGGCAGTGTAAACACTTTGCACCAACAGAGCGCATCAACACAGATAAAGTTTGACAGGACAGATCTGTTGCCTGTTCAGATCCCTCATGAGGACCCGTTAGTCGTCAGTTTGACAGTGGCCGAATGTTTGGTACGCAGAGTTCTGATTGATCCTGGAAGTAGTGTAAACGTCATGCCGAGGGACACATTTAATCGGCTCGAGATCAAGCCAGACCGGCTCAAGTCCACTGGGAATCCTTTACTAGGATTTGATGGAAAACGAGTGGAGCCCATCGGTACGGTGGAGGTAGCAGTGCATGCTACAGAGAGGGTTCTAATGGAGACTGTTGTCGTTGTCGAGATTCATCCCTCTTACAACCTTCTGATGGGCAGAGGGTGGATCCACAGAGTTTAAGGTGTTCCTTCTGCTTTGCACCAAGTAATGAGATGCCTGGGGCCAGACGGAACCAGGGTGATTGACATTCACGAGAACCAGATCGCCAACCGACCTCCTTTCTTTTGCATTTTTATCGTCTGTATACCTCATTTTTTGTAACTATGAAAATTCACTATTAATGAGATGGCTGACTTTTGATTGAACTCTTGCCATTTAATGCTCTCTGATCTGATTTTTCTCTGTATGTCAGTGGTTGGCGTTCGGCTAGCATGTAGCGCCTCGGGTTCTGGAGAAACATTGGCAAGGGTGATTCCAGTAGGAATACTAAACCAGCCATCCATTTTTGAAGAACCTGAGGGCCCAGATCCTTGACAAATGAATGTTATTCCATATGACCCAAGTTGGATTGATCCGATCATAACTTACATCCGGGATGGTACTCTACCTGAACAAAGAGATGAGGCTAGGAAAATCAAATCGAATGCTGCAAAGTACGCCATAGTGCATAACCAGTTATACAGGAGGTCTTTTTCTGGGCCGTACTTAAAGTGCGTCACCCCCACAGAGGCTCGGCAGATACTGCGTGCTATTCATGAAGGTGTGTGTGGAAATCATTCAGGGGGAAGGTCTTTAGCGCACAAAGCAATAACGCAAAGGTACTTCTGGCCGAACATGTCGCGAGATGCAGAAGAATTATCTAGAAGGTGCGATAAGTGCCAAAGGTTCGGACCACTAATCCACCAACCACCTGAGGACTTGCACGTAATGGCCACACCATGGCCTTTCGCACAATGGGGGATGGATGTGGTTGGTCTTCTGCCAACTGCAAGAGCTCAGAACAAGTATGTATTGCTGGCAACAGATTACTTTACCAAATGGGTAGAAGCAGAGCCATATACGAGCGTAATGCAAACTCATGTAAGACGCTTCATCTAGAGTAATATTATTTGCCGTTTTGGTGTCCCGAGGTTAATCGTTATGGATAATAGGACTAATTTCGACAGCAAACAAGTCAGAGAATTGCTTGAGGAATATGGAATTAATCAAAAATTGGCAGCAGTAAGTCATCCCCAGGCCAATAGACAAACAGAAATTACGAATTTAACAATTTTCGCTTATATCAAGAAGAAGCTGGAAGACAATAAAGGGAGTGGCTAGACGAACTCCCGAACATCCTATGGGCTTACAGAACGACCCCTAGACGGCCGACCGGGGAAAGCCCATTCGCCAAAGCATACGGAACCGAAGCAGTCATATCAATTGAATATTTGGTTTTGACTGTCCGAAGCTTAGCATGGAATCAGGAACAGAATGACAAAATACTGAGATTTAACCTTGATATGTTAGAGGAAAAAAGAGATGTTGCGGCAATAAGGCTTGCATCCTATCAACAGATACTGGCTAGCAGCCACAACAAAAGGGTGAAGCACAGAGATTTCGCAGTTGGCGATCTGGTTCTGAAGAAGAAGGTAGGAATGGTTAAAAAGATGATGTCACCTTGGGAAGGACCATACAGAATTGCAGAGGTCATAGGGAAGGGGGCATATATGCTAGAGACCATGGCCGGAAGGCTGGTTAACAAGCCATGGAATGCTACATCTTTAAAAAGGTATTATATGTAAAAAGTTTAAAGTTCTAATTCTGGCATTACTTACTTTCAGTCGTACAGAATTCTGAAATTTATAAAAAGCTATCTTCTTTTAAAAGAAATATATCGAGTTTATGAAAACAGCAAAGTAAGTGGTAGCTGGCACTATGAGCCGAACGCCAAAAAACTTGCCAAAAAATAAAAGAGTGAAAATGGCAAGTGGCATTTTAGCCGAGCGCCAACCACTCAGCAAAGTAAGTGGCAACTGACACTATGAGCCGAATGTCAAAAACTTGTCAAAAAATAAAATAGTGAAAGTGGCAAGTGGCATTTTAGCCGAACGCCAACCCATCAGTAAAGTAAGTGGCAACTAGAACTATAAGCCGAACGCCAAAAACTTGCCAAAAAATAAAAGAGTGAAGTGGCAAATGGCATTCTAGCCGAGCGCCAACCACTCAGCAAAGTAAGTGGCAGCTGGCACTATGAGCCGAACGCCAAAAAATAAAAGAGTGAAAGTGGCAAGTGGCATTCTAGCTGAGCACCAACCACTCAGCAAAGTAAGTGGCAGCGGCACTGTGAGACAAACGCCAAAAACTTGCCAAAAAATAAAAGAGTGAAAGTAGCAAGTGGCATTCTAGCCGAGCGCCAACCACTCAGCAAAGTAAGTGGCAGCTGGCATTATGAGCCGAACGCCAAAAACTTGCCAAAAAAAAATAAAAAAAATAAATAAATAATAAAAATAATAATAATAAAAATGTGTGGCAAAGTGGTACACTAGCCGAACGCCAACCACTGACATACAGAGAAAAATCAGATCAGATAACATTAAATGGCAAGAGTTCAATCAAAAGTCAGCCATCTCATTAATAGTGAATTTTCAGAGTTACAAAAAATGAGGTATACAGACGACAAAAATGCAAAAGGAAGGAGGTCAGTACATCAGAAAAGTTCTAACTAGAAGCATTTGCCCCGTCAGCTTCTTGTTGGTACTGAACAGTCCCCACATCACTGTTGGCTGTTCCGTCCTCACGAGGAGGAGAATCAAGCTGAATGACAGAATCATTTTGCTGAGTTCTATCCTCATTGGCATTAGAAGAGTCATTTTGCCGAGGCTTATCTTCAGCAGCAGTAGCGGAGGGAGCCACGGTGGACAGAGGAAGAACGCTTAGAGGTTGAGCAGTAGAGGGAGTAGGGATGACCCTGGAAGAAGCGATCTCTTGGCATTCATCAAATATGCCCTCAGTAGGGGTGGAGTCTGAATCGACATAAACATCCGAAGGGTCAATCCCCAGCTCTTTGTCAACCTCATCAGGGGTAGAACCGGTCTGATCTTCAGCTGGAACACGATCAGTATAACCCTCTCGGAACCCCTGAGCATATCTGAGGGCCCCAACCCTGGAAAATCGAACGTGTAGAGCCAGCAAACCACCATTTACCTTGCTGATGGTGCTGAGTAAAGCATCACGCTCGTCTAGAGCTATTTTCTCAAAGGCCATCCGAGCGGATTGCTCATCACTTAGAAGACGCTGAAGTTCTTCCTTCTCAGCCTTAAGAGATTTTCGCTCGGTATGCCAGACACTCTTGTTAAGTTGCAGAGCATCCTTTTCATCCTGAAGGGAGTCCGTCTCCTTTTTCAGAGCGTCCCTCTTGTAATGACCCGGTTATTTTCTTCCTTTTCCCTTTTTCCTCAAATTTTGCAGATAAATTTTTTCCGTTGTCTTTTATTTTCTGTGGATGGTTTTTCGTCGCTTAGTGTCATCTCGAGTGCACAGAATTGGTTTTTGAGACTCTTTCATGTGAATTGACAACTTCCTTTGAGGACCGAGTCATTTTCGCATTTTTCGTTTTTGGACACTATGCGCTATTTCGTCTTTTCCCTATTCTGTCATTTTCCCTATTTCGTCTTATCTCCGTTTGTCAGTTTTTGGCACAACCTCACTTCTTGTGCTCGGGGTTTGTTTTTGACTTCACGTATCCTTATTGTGAGTGGTTTCCACAAAATACGTATCATTACTTTTGTAAGAAAGTACTCTGGTTGCTCCCGGTGCCCATATAGGCATGGATGCATAAATCTTTGGAATTAATTTCATTTCTTGGGGTGTTTTTCATAAATATCTTTTGAAGATATTTTATTTCAGAGGCATCTAAGAAAATATCTTTTGGAAGATATTTTCATTCTGGGGCAGTTTCGCAGTTAACCCTTTTTGTAGGGGCCATTGTGCAATTAACGAAAGTTATTGCAAAATGTCTTGTCTGGAGCTTGGATCCTCGTACGGGATTCATTTTCACTTTTTGTTGACTTGTAAATTCATAGAATTCCGTTCTGGTCATTTTTCTCCAGTTTCAGAGTTTTTAGACCCGGTTGCCGCCGAACTTGTTCAGGACATAACTTTCTGTTCGAGATTCGGTTTTCAATGTCATTTCTTTCGTTGTTCATATTTTCTTATTTTGAATCTTTTTTGTTCATAGAGTTTTTCCGTTTGAGCGCGTTTGCTCAAAATCCACTTTTCCGGACCCGACGGGGCCCTTTCGGGGCACTTTTTGTAATTTACTATAAATAGGTGCCTTAAAGAAGAAAAATCAGATTTTCTTCTTCTTCCTCGTCTCCTTGCATGACCAAAGGCAGCCATGGATGCCCATGGAACTGCCATCTTCTCTCTCCTCCTTTAACCTACTTTTCCTAAGTGAAAATTCTTCGGCCTTTGCATTTGTTGCTCGACTCGTCGTGCTCTACCATAACCCCTTATTAGAAACCATTTCTGACCAAATTTTGAGTTTGGGATTTAGGCCAAGTTTGGATTTTCATGGGGCTTCTTGGAGATTCATATAGATCGTGTTATCCCCGACAAAACCTAGGAGTTTCGTCGGATTCAGAGCCGTTTCGTTTTGATGGCTTTTGAGATTTTCATCTCAAATTGAGGTAGGGGGTGTCTTAGGATTATATTTTTGTTGTATTGATGATTACATATGCTTATACAACTTGTATGCATGTTTTGTATAAATCTTGAAAATTAATTTTAATTAATTTCTTTGTAAATGATTTAATGCTCAAGGATATGTATGACTTGGAATTGAATTATAACGTGCTAGGAAATTATGCTTGGATATGTTGGTTAACATATATTAAATTTGGCTCATTTGATTAAGAATTACAACTTTTATTTAATATTTATATTTAGTGAAAGTTTAATTCACATGGTTATATCAAGCATGAAATCAAGTTGTAATGTGATATTTAAATAGGCCTTAGCATGTTCTCTAACATAGATTAAATTGAGGGCATTTGGAATTGTTTAAAAATCTAGAGGAAATTAATTAATTAGCTTGATTAATTTTGTTTTAAGTGCTTTAATCGCTTAAATTGTCATTTGATGTTATATATGTGATGACCATGACATGTCCTTCAATATATATTAAATTGAGGTTATCT